TTCGTGCTGTAAACAACGAGCCCGAAGCTGTTAATGAAGTCAGATAGATTTGTCAGGGGTTGCTCACTAATGGTGTTATGGACAGAGACGTACATCATGAGTAATGCAGGAATTTGAGGAAAATACTCATGATATATACAACACGGACCATTAGTTCTGAAACTAATGAAAACGACTGCGGGAAATACAACACAGCGTGTTTTCGATGATAACCATCTCATACGCAAAAACAGACTCCAGAGTGACCATTTTTTGCACCTGTGACTCCTGGAGAATAAGGAAATATGAAATCGGACTTGCATCGCTGCGAGTGTATTAAATTTGTCATAGTATCTGATTCTCACCCTCTATTGGCCAGTCCACAACCAAAAAAAAACATCATTTGCGTTTCCAACAAACACTGGAACTCAATGGTATACTACTGAACTTCCCACTGGCACGTACGACAAAGACTCTCTCATTGGAGAAATTCGACGAAGACTTTAGGTGTTGACTGGCCAAAACTCTGAAAGTTCTATACGTGCCCACAAGCCCACATCCAGTTGTGACGTTGCCATAAAATCCAAACATGTGTTTCCAACCATATGTGTTTGTCATTGCGAGGCCACCCATAATATTACTGTTATTTTGGCCTGGCCACATTTTAGATGGTAAAAGATTCTTGATAGTGGAATATTATATGTCGTCTGACATTGTGAGAATTACCTTAACAGCTCAAGTCAAACCATCAGTTGCAGTTTTGAAAGCAGGTCTGAAACGACAGTAGTTTTTCAGGGTATATTCTGTTTGGGTTTTCACCAAACCGTGGAACAAGGTGGCTTGATAGTGACCACAACGCCATCACCGTTAACGCAAGAAAATCCATGTACATGATGTATTACGGACTTGGTCTTGGTGGTATTGTTCATGTATTATTTCCCAGCGCACCAAAAGCACTCAGCCTTCTCATCGCGCACCATCGACCAAATGAATGTCGCCAGCAGTTAGTATGGTTGATTAATGAGCCTACTCTGTAGCAATTTCAGCTTTTATGATTGCAAAAATGGGGATTGGATTGTGATGGCCAACAGTCGAGCATTGTTATTAAAAGAAATCAATAACGTGTAAGTGGAAACAAGAAGTTAATGCATTAGTTCAGTTCAAAAAATGTATTTGATAATGAATTTGACAATGGAGATCCTGTGCTGGTGAATCAGATCAAGATAGATTTCAAGTATTACTCATATACAGTTACTGATTTCAATCAGTTGCAACGACAATTGCAAGTGAAAGACACATCTAGGCATTTTCTTCGGTGTGATATAGTTTAGTAAATTGAGGTAAACATAGAACAGTATGACGGCTCAAATTTCCCGTCAATACCACAGTGGAATAATTTTAATAACGGCATCATAGGGTATTTTAACAGTGTACGTTACTCAATTGATTTGAAGGAAATAAAATCCACTTCAGACAACATTGAAATGGCTAAGACCATCATTAGACTTGCCAGATAGTGCGATGATTACACAGAACAGTTGCTTCAACATTGATGTTTGTCAAGGATATATGCGATAATGATGATTCTCAACAATGCTCTGTTAGGTGACCTAAAATACACACCAACCCTGTTAATAATGCAAGTTCTGCATGTCGGCGTTAACAACACTTTCAATGGTGGATTTACTCAGGGTCAAGGACAACGTTGTGGAGACTTATGATTTTCTTGCGCAATTATTTCAGTTTCATTTCTGGGTTTTGCATAGATGTTCATTGGAGCCAATCACATAGTCTTTTTAACCCGTATGAAAGACTCCAACAATGCAATTAGGCTTGGTGCAGCTGCTAGTGATGGTAGAGTTGTATTAAAAACATTAACATTCTCGTTGCCTGTGTTATATCTTTTACGTTCTACAAAATCACGTTTTTTTGCAACTTATGCGGTCGTAAACAACTTTAATGTTGTAGTTCCTCGCGCATTCCATAGGTGCACACCCACCAGCTGATACTGTGGGACAATTTACTTGACAAAAAATACCAATCATGAACTCACTGTACCAAAATATGTGTTTGTGGCATTTCATCATATAAATCGAGACAATATCCAAACTCATAGCAAATTGATATTTAGCGACGTAATAAAGATTAAGTTATTTTTGAAGTTGGATGGTCATCACGAAACATCTCAAGAAATATATTTTTAACTAATCATACTACATGTGTATTATCACAATATTTGGTCGCATATGGAGCGGCACCAAAACATTGACACAGGCTTGCATATATCTCAAAATGGCTTTATGACACTACCCAATTTATTACGTTTCATTAAATACCTAGAATTATTCAGGTAGTCCGTTGTCGGTTTTTACTTTCGTGCACGTATAGATGACGCTGGTGGTAGCTCTTGATGTTATGTTATTATACCTTAAGACAAGACATTGTTGTTGGAGGCTGCTAGAGGTTGAAAGAGAGTGATTGGCGAACCCGTGCAAAATTCGTAGAATTTTCGAATTCATAATTGGACATGTTACATATTTTATTAATAACGTCACATCCGAGTCAGTCCTACTGAACATCAACAAGTAAAATTAAAACTGTCAGCCAGAACAATTGTGGAGTCACACTCATGCTTTCTTCTGCAAAATTAAATCGAAATGTCCATATGATGTTAATCGAATCACAGCAAGCTCAGTTTAATACGGTCAAATACAAAAACACTTCAGTGCCATTAAAATTATCACAGTCATTGACAAATGCAAAGACCGTTGGAATATTTTCTTTCAGCGGCTCCGGCGGTTGCAAAAGCTGCAACGCTAGGGGATGTCGGGATTGCCTCCGGAATGGCTTTAAAAAGAATCATTCGATCGACACATAAAAAGGAGAGATGTCCTCGATTGCCACGATTGAGTCTCCGAATGCCATCATGTAAACTTCTTTGACTACCAAGTGCAAATGAGTGCGTCGCTGACCCGTCCCTTGACCAATTTTAATTTAGTCGCGATGGCAAACTCAGTCTAGCATTTTCGTGGTGTTTGTATGCGAGACAAATCGTGCCAAGTACACTTGAGACTGGCATAGTCAATCGTGATTCATAAGCATCAATGACACGAAAACATGCGTGAAAACACTTCAACATAGTTTGATTCTGACTAGTATGAGCTTGCGCTGCCAGTTGAAATTCTTAAATAGTTATCTAAGCGTGGTAAACAAACGATGTTTCATTCGACAATGCCAGTACATACACGGATGAAAGGCCCCATATGCAAGTCATCTCGACTATGCCAATACTTACACGGTTGAAAGGGTCCATATGCAGTCATCTTGAATATGCCAATACACGGTTGAAAGGCCCATTATACAGTCATCTTGATATTAAAGCATTACGTATAATGGGAGGGGGGTTTCACTGACACCTACAATATCTTATTGATTTTACAGTAAGGTAGGTCTATTATCATATAACAATGTTTATTAAACATCTACGATCTTTGCTCAGCTCGACAACACGGTGCTAATTTGGATCATATCCAATTTGCCACCAAAGCGAATTCCTCTATTTGCTAATCGTGTTTTTGTAAGTATCGATCCAGATGAGCTTGTGTTTTTGAAGATCAGACCAGCGAAATGAAAAGGTCAAGCCTTGCAATTCAATATATTATCGTCATTCTCAAAGGCGCTAGCACAAAGAACCTGGAAGAAACAGATTAATTAATGTCCAAACGTAGTTATTTCACTCAAATAAAAACAATAATTCACACAAACAATGAAAACAATTTCCACTCAGTGATCAAATGTTTTTACTAGAATAAAGATGCAATAGTTTCACTCAAATAATGATACAATATTTTACTAGACTAATGATGGAATGTTTCCACTAGAATAGTGATCAAGTGTTCTCAGTCAAATAGTGATAAATGATTGTAAGTTAGGACATATGCCTTGTTGTGTCCAACTCTTCATCACAAAATATTTTCAGTCCCATCTCTGTCGGATGGTAAAGGGGACATGTCGAATGGTCTGCCTCTCACGGTCTGCCAAATGATTCGTAGAACCTTTTGTTCCCTGCCGACCCCATGGTCCCGAAGAATTAGTCCAACATCACGAGATATTCATTTTCTTCCAGACGAACGTCACGTATAAACCCAAATTAGTAGCACGGCCAAAACGACACCTTCATAAAACGAAGATAAGGCATAACTACAATTCCATCTCATTTTCATTCCTTTCATCCCCTCATTCGCTCTACATCTGGAAATAATGCATTATAAACTGGACAAGAATTTTCCTAATGTTAAGTTTTGAAAGTACCTGAAGCTTATATGTACACTGGCTGTGTCCCAATGCACGACCTGTGCGTTCACGATATATCAGTTTCCCGATTGTAAGCATTTGCTCCTGCAGCATGGAGTGAACCAAACTCGCTACATCAAAATAAAGTATGATATTGATAAACCACCCAGGTAACGCTGTACACAATAACTGAAGCCCAATTACAGTCTATTTCAAATACACATAAACAATAAAAATACACAATTCCGTGACACAAGTCGAATAATATTTCTTAATAAGGGGCATGACTTTTGTTCACAATATCACGTACTAGAAATCGAAGAGATGGATATTTACACATGTGCCGCATCAGAAATAATAAAATCGCATGTTGTAATTGCACGACAGACAGACTTTTAGTGTCTCATCATTACGGACACGCACTTCTAACCAATTGATTTTTATTACTATGATTTTTATTACTACCACAATTGTCATGCTGTTATTAAAACCCCCACTCTGCCTTCAGAATACTTATATCTCCGGTGATTGTGTATTATGGGGATTTGCTACACCTCCCATATGAATCCACACCGAAAACACTAGCATCTTTTAATCAAACAATCGTCTTTGCCCAATAACAGTCTTTGTCTAGATTGTGCTTCCTTGCTAAATAACATTCTTGATTTGTCTGTTGTGAACTGAGCCAGTGTTGGTGTTAAACATTATGTGGTGAACGCAACCGCTCCGGTGCCTTAGTGGTTAGAGCGTCCGCCTCAGATGCGGGAGATCGTGGGTTGTATCCACGGTCGAGTCCTACCAAAGACTTACAGAAATGGTACTAACAGCTGCCTGGCTTAATGTTCAGCATTAAGAGATTAGTGTTAGGATGGGTCGGACCTGGTGTCAGGATAATATGACTGGGTGGGACATCTAAATGCTACATGTCTGCGGTATGATGACCCAGTGCTAGACATCACTATAAACTGCAATAGTACAGACATCGTAGCGATATGACTGAAAAATTGTTAAAGCTACGTTAAATGTCATAATCACATCATATCACATATGGTGGATATGATGACCTCGCCAAGACGACAACTGTAAAACACATACCAAACGCGAGTATTTGATCGCCTATGCTATTTGCGTTCTTGATGCAGCAGCACAACACATAAAACCATTGTAGGTGGAGAAGTCGCTATTACTGTCAGAGCTTTAATGATATAAACTGGTGTCTTTGGTGGCATTAACAAATTAATTTCGATGGGACTTCAATCTCCAGTGCACATCAACTCCGAATTGTATGCTTCTGTACACAGCAATCTCAATACGATCAGTAAATTGTACCCGGCAGCAATCGATGATAAAATGATTAGTGTTTCTGAGTTTAAGATTATGCTGTCAGAAATAGAAAATCTCAGTCTGTTAAGATCACACGTAAGAAACAGCGCGTATTTTAATTACAAAATGATAAATTCGAGTACACAAAACATGCAAAGATCTGATTATTAATCGAAAGCATATACAATTACATCGTTTGATTTTATCACTAATATAGGCTTGCCAGTATGAGTACAGCACACTCTGCCATTGGAAGCAGAGTACTATGCAAGCCCGGAGTTTGACCCCACTAGTCTCTGTGGGGTGGGCACTGAAATAAGTTTGTGCCCTATGTGTATGTCTCACTACATGAATGGGCTCCGTGGTTACCAAATGTGTAGGAGTCGCGTGGGTCGGATGTAGGTAAAGTGAGCCATGGGACAGATTCAGAGACGGAGGGCAGTGACCTTAAAAGGAGGGAACGTAATGAGATTCAAACTTCTCACAAACATACTAATCCTGATAAACATAGTAAATATATCATATATTTGAATGAGTGATATTTTAATTCATCAACTTGAAACTTCTAATATTTTACTGAGAAAATTGTAGCCGCTTTATAAAGAGGAAACTTGGCTGTAGTCAATATATGTCTTGTATTGTATATTAACTGCATTATTCAATTTATTCAGCAATGTAAATAGTTTTACATGTTAACTGAGGCGTGATCTCCATAACACACCATACTGCCTATGCGACATTAAATGTATTACTATCAATTTGATGAATCTATCATACAAATGAACATTACTCATTAAAGTAAGGAAACTTTGGCATCGATAATCTAGAGAAAATGTTATTGGGGATAATGTTTTATTGACATTTGTTTATAAAGAATAGCTGCTACTATAAAGAATTTAAAATTGAATGATTAAATTAAATATATCATTATTCTTTGTATTTACATTTCAGATAAAGAAGTGCGGACCTGTACCTCAACGCATGTGAAACTGGATTTTGTTTTATCCTTATCTGCTTTAAATGAACGTCTAGCCGTTATGTTCTATTCTTCAAATCCTATTAATGTTAGTACCATAATGGTGTGTAACCCAAACTCCTGGACATGCTCTCCTCCTAAATCTAATTTGCAAATCAGAATTAACGGAAGTGGTATATATATTACTCTGAACTCGGTGCAAATGTCAGATCAAGGAGTGTATGGAGTAATTGGTTCAAGGAGTCTAATCAAATATCCGTCAGCAGTTCTGACCGTTACAGGTATGTACATGTAAAAACGGGAGAAAAGCAAAATCACATCATCAGAAAGGTATCTAACGAATATCAGCAGAATGGCTATATAATTAATATATTCTTATCTTCAGTGATAAGATGTCTTAAATTCAGTCATAAAAGCTTTCAGATTGTACAACAATTTAAAAAGACACCAAATATTGGTATATTTTTAAAGCGTTTCAATTACCTTAATCTACCAAATAGATTTTTAATGAAAGCCTTTTGCAGAACCTTAAACCACTACTTCTTTAAGCTCTCTATGTATGTTAAATAATTGATTTAAATGAAATGTTAATAGAGTAGAGTATTCTGAATGAATTCCAATGGTGTTCCACATTAATTCTAATCTTGAATGTTCTGATGATTTTGTTACACTTAATGGTTGTCCAGTTTACTTATTAAAGCATATTTCCTGACTTCTGAATGTATCGTAACTTAGTATGTGTGAAGACCAACTGAGTAAAGTTCATTTTTATGTATAGAATGTATATCCTCTCCTCCTGCATCTGACATGCCGTTGAAAACTATTGAGCTGCCAAACTCAACGACACAAGAAACTCAAGTTGTAAATACTGGAATTTCATACTCACATGCAATCTCAACATCTGCAGTACCTGCTGCAGGTAAGCTTGAAGTTCACAAATACTTAGCAAGCGATATACCAACTAATTTGAGAAAGTTATAGATACGAAGTTAATCTTTAACGTTCTTATAGCTACTCATTCATTTATACATTTGTATGTCTCATTAATATTTGGTTTAGTTAGCCAAATGTTTCCTGACGAAAAATTCTTTTGCTCACTTTCATGAAATATATATATATATATATATATATATATATATATATATATATATATATATATATATATATATATATCTGCATTGTTTATAACTTATTCAGTGTTTATTAAATGAAGCATCTCTTATACCTGTCCAGCAATAGTCCAGAAACTTTAATGGGCTTCATTTCCCTGATATCGTTTCTCCGTTGTGGCAATGTCCTGGTTAAATCGCTCGCCGTGCTCGTATTTCACTGCTCCGCAGTTCGGTGAAAACAAATCTGTATGTGAGAGAAAAAATGTATCTTTTGTGGCATGTTGCAATCAGCGCTTTTGTACTCTTTGAAGTAGTTTTCCACCATCTCCCTGGAGTTGTCTGCCTTGCTGTTTTTGAGGAAATGTGTTGCCACTAACTGCAAGGCTCTCAATGCAGTCTTTTTGTTTGCCACGCAATGCACGGTCAAATCATCTAGAACAAGTTCGCTAATCTGAGTACCTACAAAGACACCTATTATATTAGCTACACTTAACCTTGGACAGTTTCCACAGAGGTACTTAAAAGTTGTTTTGTCTATGACCTTGACAAATTTCTTCATTAGACCCAACTTGATGTGCCAGGGTGGTAACATATTTTCATTGATTTAGCAAGTGGTGTATGCTAGACTCTTTTGTCCTACGATGCAATGACTGTCGGAGTAAACGATCTCTGTTGATGTTGTGGGAATCTCACGCACAAGTATTACAGCAGAAACAGTAGTACTGTGTGTGTCCAGTCAGCAGAACCTTCAAATCGCCACAAAGCTGCCACTGTAGTTGATCATAGTTTATGCATTCCAAACGTTGTTTCATGTTTTCATAGGTTCCAGTCATATGGAATGCATGCCCGAGAGGAATTGATCGCAAAACATTGCCATTATGCAGCAAAACAGATTTAACACACGTCTTCGACGAACCAATGAACAGTCTCTATGGATCATAAACGATGTTGAAGGCTGCCATCACACTAGCGATATTGTTGTAGGCTGCAAGTTCATCTTCTATGAAGAAGAATTTAAGCTTAGTTATTAGTACATAATCCCTGACTTCTATGAATAAAATGATGCAATTAATTATGACCCAATATCAGATGCAGATTGCATTACACATTCTTTTACTTTAAATGCAAGTACTGTCCAAACACATAGATGTATTTGCAGATTAAGTCAATTATGTATTTTAGTCATTTCAAATTTAAACTAAGATCCTTTCCCTTTATAAATCTCTTTTCCTCTTCCATTTTAAAGTCAAGTGTAGTATCTACTGACCCAATAGCATGTCTATAAAATAGAGCTAATCAACAATTTAAGCTCTTCAAGTTAAGTAGTATGGAAAAGAAAATATATATGAAGAGAAGAAACCTCTATCTTTGATAAGAGTGATGGTGTTGACCTTAGCGTACTGTTATTTTAAGTCTCGTTATCTGTAAATATTTGTCCAGAGAACTTTAGTAGCATGCTGAACATGCAGATTTTAGGCGGGTTCGTGGGCAAGAGTATACCCGTATAGTGTATCACTTGTACCCCTTGTTCAACAAACCTGTGCACATAATAACCCATTTTTGAGATGTATTCTTTAAGTTATTTAAATGGTAAATTATTTACTAAATTCATTACAGTGTGGTTAAATGCACATTTAATTATGCTAGTGCATATGACAAGAAATCTATACTGAATATATTCAAAACTCTAACACGTTAAACCAGTGCAAATGCCCTTATTTTCTAAGTTGAATCATAGACATGTCCTGATTAGCAACTCGATCAAGACTCTTTTAATGTATCCATACATTTTTCAAATATGACTTAATGTTAGGATGGCTATATGAATCTGACAGACAGGATTAAACGTGGACAAAAGTGTACGTTTCTTGACATACTTCGTACAGTATAAACATAAAATATTTTGATATATCTATGATCAGAACATAATGCAGGTTGTTTTATTCACAATAGCTTTAATGCAATCGAGCATGGTTGCAGTTATTCATTTATAAGGAGTCCAAGAGTATTATTACAATACACAGTATATTCCATTTATGATATGTTAGCCTTCTTGCATTTCGATATATATATATATATATATATATATATATATATATATATATATATATATATATATATATATATATATATATATATATATATATATATATATATATATTGAAGCATTTGGGGTGTTTTTTTAATTGTGTTTAATTAAAACGAGCAAAAACGTTGCAGATTATAATTTATTTGGATATCTTAACAAATGCACAAAAAGGCACATTATTGCAGTCAGACAAGATGACAAAAGCATTCTGCTTGCTGTCTATAACTATAAATATGTTATCTCGTTATAGTCTGTAAATTGATCATTACAGGTTCAACAGCTCATCTGCATGTTAATTGATGTTAAT